GCTAGGACAAGGCTGGACTTGCTGAAACCAGCCAGTACACCAGCAGCAACAGCAAAAAGTGAATATTCTGCCCGCAAGGATGCAGCCAGAGCCAGAGGCAAACCATGCCCATGCTCTGCCTGGAGCATCCGTACCAACCGCACAGCACGGCCCGTGCCTTCTCTTTGTATTGGTCCCCCTAAAGGGTTTTGCCTCCTCTTTTATCTCCCCGGCGCCCTTCCTCCCTTTCATCAGAGCTTTACTATAACGTTACAGGACTCGAACTGCCTGGGCACCGATGAAAGAGATGCTGCATGAGCAGGGTCTGCTTCCCCCAGAGCACAGTCCGCTCCAGCAGCCCCGGTCCACGGTAACTTCCTTTGAAGGGGAAAAATAAAGCAAAAATGGAAAAAAAAAAAAAAAAAAAAAAAAAAAAAACCCACAAAAAGGGGGAAAAAAAAAAAAAGATCGCAGTGACCGCGTGGACACTGCCGAAACGGGCACGGCGGGTCTTGGGGCTGTGCAGCAGGACGGACCGACGCCGGGTCTGGGGGTGCCCGCAGCCCACCCGCCTCCCCTGCTCCAGGGCTTCCCCAGCTGAAACACCGCCTATGCCTCTGCAGCATCGCAGCTGGACTGATAGAGCAGCTCAAATTTAAGGAAAAAAAAAATACAAACCCTACATAATGAAGTTTCTCTGCGATGCCCCCAAACCTCACGGCTCATTTAAGTAACAAGTTTAATGAAATTTCATTTCTTAAGTACACTATTTCAAACACCAGTATCTTTTTCCAATTACTAAACCCATCTGGATTTACTTACTGAACATCTAGGCAGGAACGCCACAGCACCATTTCCTAAATCACACCCCACCACAAGTCATTAAAGCGCACCCTGATTCCCCTTAATAACATCAGCGACGTCACAGCGCTGGCAGCGCGATGCCAGAAGCGCATCACATCCCCTCGGCAGAGCCAGCCGCGCGTCTGGAAGGGGCCTTGGGCAAGCAGAGATGCTCCTGGTCGGCCAGGTACCTCAGCAGGCATTTATTTGTGGCTGGGGCCAGCAGCCAGCTCAGGGCTACTACTCTTAACTCCCCAGGGCCAGAGCCAACCACTAAGGATGCTCCCAGCTGAGCACCAAAATTGTATTTGATATTTTACTCCGAGCATTTTCCAGCCACCTCGCTGTGACACCCTCTGCCCCAGCACACCTAGAAAGCATCTCCTTGGACATCCATTCAGAGCTCAGGCTCTGGAATGGGCTGCCCAGGGAGGTGGTCAAGTCCTCATCACTGGGGGGATTTAAAAGAAGGACAGATGAGGTGCTTAGGGACAGGGTTTAGTGGTGGGATGGCAGGGGTAGGTTAAAGGTTGGACTCGATGATCTCAAAGGTCTTTTCCAACCAAAGTGATTCTATGATTCTATAAGATCTTCCACCTGCAATACGGCAGCGAGGATGTTAAAGCAAGAGCGGAGGAGAGTGACGGGGAACGTCGTTGCGCTCCCACTCCGCTCCGTAATCCAATTTGGAGCGGCGTGAATCATTGGGCACCAGGAGATGATAAAGAATCAACATGCCGCGCTGTTAAATATACAGCTCGTAGGAGCATGAGTCACAGCTCAGGTTTCGAGGTGCGACGCCGTACGCAAATCCTTTCTGAGAACTACCCAAGAACACTGCGCACGTAGCCACGATGGAAGGGGTCAGACCTGGCCTCCCAGTCCCGCAGCCTGCGGTGACCCTGCCAAAACTACTTCCCCTGGCTGTAACGCCTGCAAACGCAACGGGCTGAGCTTCCCCGAGCCCTGGGGGGGGGGGACAGGGGGAGGTTTAGGGACCAGGGCAGCCCACAGCCCCGCAGCAGGGAGGGCGCAGCCCGCCGGGAGCTTCACCTGCACCCAGAGGAACGGACCAACCCTCTGCAGCTTTATCCCAACCTGCTCCAAGGCAGGCAGAGAAATACAGATTACATCCCTTGCCCGCCCAGATGTATTAAAGACAAGGCTGGGTTCTCTTTCATTTGTAGTAATTAAAGCCTAGTGATTATCCCACTCATCAAACACCGAGTCTAGACACAGGCTTTTCACTGCAATTCAGACCCAAGCCGCCCGTACTCCATTTGACGGGGACGCCTGTGTCCCTGCCTTCACGCACCCACGGGGCAGCCAGCCCTTCGCAACCCCTCGGAAAACCTCGTCGCGATTCAGCATCGCCGCCGGTGATGGCACGGCGGCCGCGGGCTGGGGGGGAGCCGGGGGGCGGGGGGGG